TCACTAAGCCTAAATTAAGTTCAACCAACATTGTAAGACAACTAAAAAAAAAGAAAATTGTTTCGTGATCGTATCAATCGAGAACCTGTAAATTTTATTTGAACTTTAAAAGTGGTGCATTTCACAACAAGTTAGTGGCAGGTAAATTTCAAATTCAACATGCACACTATTCATGCAGGGAAAAAATTCAATCTCTGCTTTACCATTTATATGTCTGTATTTCCAGTAAACCAGCTTCCAGTGTTAAAAGCTGATGCGTTGAAGTATATGATAACATTTCGTAACCAACTGTCAGCCGATTTATTGACGCTGTCCATCCCTCATCTCATCCAGTTACTAACTGCGCAAAGTGTGGTTGTACATACGTACTCCGCATATACGATAGAAAGAATATTTACGACAAAGTCACCGACTGGGGGTCCTGTGTAAGTAAAAAATTCAATCAATTTTTCAACCAGTAAATGTTCAATTAGGGGTGCATCATTCTACCATATAGTATCAGATAATAGTGAAATTATACAATACTGACTGAATACTATGTCTTCGTCTATTTATCATATTTTTTTTTCTCATCTTTAGCATCAACGTTGAAAATTTAAAACCTTATGTTGAGTCACTGATCACTAATCTATTTAATGCGTTGAATATGCCTGGATCTCATGAAAACGAATACATTATGAAAGGTGAGATTATATGAGATTATATGAGGTGTACAAAGTACTGTAAAATACTTTATTTTCGCTTGGAATTAATTTTCGCTATTTTCGCTGAAGGAATGAATGATGAATGAAATCCAGCGAATATACTTTTCTTCCTATATTTTACATTCAACTCGTCAAAAATCAGTGAAAATAAATTCCATACAAAACGCCCAAAAAGTCTTTTCAGCGAAAATTAATTCCAGCTAAAATAGTGTCCTACAGTATTTTTTTTCAGTTAGTAGATGAAATTATCCTTCTTTTTAAATTCTGAAGAGAGGTTTTCATAAAACCACATTCATCAAAATTCTTGTCTGTGTGGTAATTTTCTTTCAAATACAATAATAATATTTGATTTGTGAACAAGTTTTAATTCTCCCTTGCAAAGTGCACAACTATAAAACAATGTTATTTGATTTATACTATAATAATGTTAGTCTTGACAGAATAGATTTACAAGTAGTGTAATCGATGCTTTGTGCCAGGCAAGGCAATTTTATTGTCTTCACCACTGGAGTTAGGGGTAGTGAAAGAAATGCATGAATTTGAAAGTTCTGTGGCGTTATCTTTTTTACTATCCATGTTATCAATGATGTATAGTTATAATCTGGCCAACCTAAAGAAGTTGTATGAAAATACGTGGCATCATTGTAACAGTCGGCCAGTTGTTATCTTAGCTTTGTTACATGTATTTGTTAGTATGTTTCCTACTGTATAACTTTCTATTTCTGTTTACAGCTATAATGCGCAGTTTTTCAATGTTACAAGAAGCTATTGTACCATACATACCACCTTTACTTGGTAAACTTACAGAGAAACTGATGATTGTCAGTAAGGTAAGTTATTCAATTTCTTTATAACTAAAATTAATTCAGGTTGTCTACATGAAAATATAGTTATCCAATAAAATATTGATTTTTGGAAACAGGCCAGGACTTGTACTGTAAAATCTGTATAGGAAACCGTGGCTTCTATTACAATGGTAGAATGCAACAGAGGGGATGCAGCTTCTATTAGAGCACCTACACATATGAGAAATGATGAATTTTTGGTTCTCAATTATTCAAAAAGAATGGGTGCGACTTCTATTAGGGATGTGGCTTCTAATGCAGATTTTACGATATCTTTTTACCACTAGTTTGCTCTTTTCATCACAAATTCACAAAATAGTCCTGTTTATAGTCTGCATTTCCCTTCAAAAGATTGCAACAAAAATAGCCAATTATTTTGAGTAAAAACTGAAAATTGACTCAAATTTTGTCTGTTTGCTCCAAAATTAGGGTTCATTTCCAGAAATGTTGAAGAATATAATAAAAAAGTGTGTAAAAAATTGAATGAAAAGTCTTGTGGTGAAAAGTTGATGTAATTATCAATGTACGTGTGACAGTCTTGATATTCTATTTTCAGAATCCCAGCAAACCACATTTTAATCACTACTTATTTGAGTGTATTAGTTTATCTGTCAAGATCTGTTGTAAAGCAAACCATGCTGCTGTTAGTGAGTTTGAAAAGGCGTTATTTCCACCGTTTCAAGAGATTCTACAGGCTGATGTTCAAGGTAGTAACAGATTTACATAAAACTTATACAGCATGTATCGAAAAAAGCTTTGACACTAGAGGGTGCTAGAGTACTTATGGCAAAGGTGTGTTTCTGATTAAGAATCGTATGATTATATTACAGAATTTATGCCGTATGTTTTTCAAATCATGTCAATGATGTTAGAAATGCACAGTGATGTACCAGAAGCGTACATGGCATTGTTTCCACATCTACTTGTACCAGTATTATGGGAGAGGTTTGGTAACATACCGGCGTTGGTTCGACTATTACAGGCCTTTATTGAGAAAGGAGCCGATACGATTGCTGCAGCTGACAAAGTGGTGAGTGTGATGGGCTACTTTTTTTTTGATAAGTGTCACATGCTATGGTCACGTGGGGAAGAGGCAAGTGTAGCTCGACGAGCCTCCAGTCAACCAGAGTGATGCAAATAATCGACAAAAACAAACAAGAGTTACGTATATGCGAGAATAGAGCATACTCATTTATTGAAGTTCGATACAATATATATATATATGCAATATCAGAG